GTTAATTGTTATTCTTTTGTGGATTTGATCCTTAGCCCCTTACTTGACTATGAGCGTCCTGAGAGCAGAGACCTGGCTCTCCTAGATTTCTCTTTCTCTCCCATAGGAAACCTCAGTAAATGCCCGTGGCAGGCCCTGACAGTGCATGGGTATGAGTTAGCTGGGAGGATGGCCCATTAGAACCAGCGTGCCTGGGTCTCACAAGCTGCTGGCACTGAGCAGGGCCAGCCAGGGCGGGCCATAGCAGAGGGTGGGGGTGGACTGAGGGGTCTCTGCTGGGAGCAGGTGCAGTGGCAAGTCTGACCACTTGGGTTTTAGGGTCACTTCAGTCCCTCACAGAATGGACGTCCAGTAGACATCTTAAACTCAGTATATCCAAAACAGAACTCATCAGCTTCCTCCCTAAATCCTCCCCCGCCCCGCTTCCTGTTACTGTTGAGGGCACCATCCTCCCAGTCCCTCAGTCTCCCAACTTAAGAGTCATCTTGGACTCCTCGCTGTCTCTCACCTCCCAGATCCAATATGGCGCCAAGGCCTGTTGATTTCACCCTCCCTTCTCTCTCCTGACACTGCCACCACTCCAGTCAGGCCCTCTTCACCTCATGCCTTAAGTCTTTTATTTATTTATTTGTTTGTTTGTTTGTTTGTTTGTTTGTTTTAGGCAATTGAGGTTAGGTGACTTGCCCAGGGTCACACAGCTAGTAAGTGGCAAGTGTTTGGTCTGAGGCCAGATTTGAACTCAGGTCCTCCTGACTTCAGGGCCGGTGCTCTATCTACTGCATCATGCCTTAACTCTTGCAATGGCCCCCTGGTGGGTTTGCCTGCCTCAAGTCTCTCCCCACTCCAATCCATCCTCCATTCGGACACTAACGTGATTTTTCTAAACCAAAGGTCTAATCGGGTCGCTGCTCAGTAAACTCCCGTGGCTCCCTATAACCTCCAGGAGCAAATACAGAATGCTCTGTTTGACATTCAAAGCCCTTTATAACTCAGCCCCCTCTTACCTGGCTGGTCTTCTCACAGCTCACTTCTCTATCAGGTACTCTTGGACCCAGCGACATTGACCTCCTGGCTGTTCCACCAGCAGGACCCTCCATCTCTCTGCTCCAACCGTCCCCGTGTGTCTGGAACTCTCTCCCTCCTGCTCTTAATCTCCTGTCTTTTCTGGCTTCCTTCAAGTCTCAGCTAAAATCTCATCTTCTACAGGAGCCTTTCCCAGTCTCCCTTAAGGCTGGTGCCTGCCCTCTGGTGATTATCTCTCAACCAGCCAACCATCCTGTCTACAACTTATTTGGACGTAGTCATTGGCCTGTTGTCTCCCCCATGACTGGGAGCTCCTCGAGGGCAGGGACTGTCTTTTGTCTTTCTTTGTATGCCTGGTGCTTAGCACAGTGCCTGGCACACAGTAGGTGTTTAATAAATGCTTACTGACTGCCTGCCTGGCAGTAAAGTCACTTCCCCAATACGGGGGCCGTGTTTACTCTTTTATAAAATGAAGTGATTGTGCTAAATCACAGCATCTTAGTGTGAGACCTAACAGTGCCCCATGACAACGTGCTGAACTTGTCCAGTTACATGACTAGTAAGTCTTTGAGGCAGGACTCGAATGCAGGACATCCTGACTCCAAGACTCACCCTCTGTCTATAAAGGCCACCGCACAGCCTAACTGATCTTTATGGGGTGTGATCTCAAGCTTCCTTACCGCCCTGGCTGTCTTTCTTTGAATCCTCTTCAATTTACCAATGTCCTTCCTGAAATATGGCACCCAGAACCAAATGGTGGCTGTTGTGCAGTTGTGTCTGACTTTCTATGACTCCATTTGGGGTTTTCTTGGCAGAAATCCTACTGTGGTTTGCCATTTCTTTCTCTAACTCATTTTACAGATGAGGGAACTGAGACAGAGTTAAGTGACTTGCCCAGGGTCACACAGTTAGGAAGTGTCTGAGGTTGGATTTGAATTCTGGCCTTCCTGACTCCAGGCCCAGGGCTCTATCCACTGTGGCGCCACCTAGCTGCCCCCAGAAATAAACAACACACCCTAGATATGGACTGACCAGAGAACAGCAGGTGTCTTACCTCCTTGGGTCTGGACTAGAGATAGAGGCCTCTCTTAACGTAGCCAACGATTGGATCAGGTTTCTTGGCATCATTATTATCACACCATTGAGCTTGTAGTCAACTAAACCCCCCAAATCTTCAAGGAAACTTCTTTCCAGCCATGCCTCTGCCATCTTGTAACTGGGAAGTTGTAAAAAATTCAACTATGAGATTCTTTACCTTTGTCCCTTTTAACTTTAATCTAATTAGGTTTGACCCAGTGTTTTACCCTATCAGAACCTTTTTGGATCTGGACTGAGCTGTCCAATGCATCCTTAATCTCTTCAAGTCTTATGCCATCTGTAAATGTGATATGTAGGCCATCTAAGGATTTATCCAAGGACCTGATAGAAAAATGTGTAACAGTATGTGATCAGGGACAGATCCCTGGGGAACTCCACTAGAGACCTCAAAGAACAAACAAGCAACTTTTGGCTGTCTAGCAAAGCCCCCGGAGTCTTCTCTTCTTAGAGTAATGTTTTTAAATACATAGGATTACAAAGGGAGCTAATTACCTTAAAATAGAATTATTGAAATATAAAAACAAAACAAGTTCACAGACCCCAAGTTAAGAACTGATGAGGAGATGCCATTTTGATTGTAAGACTTCAGCAAACATATTCTACCTAGTCTTGTTTAGTGCACTCTGTCCCTGGCCAAGGGCCCAGAAATGCAAGGCTTGTGCTCTGACGCTAGTATCCTAACCTGCTATCCGTTTGCCTGATCTGCCTTTCTCGTCCAAAGACCCTGCCTTTCATGGAGGGCAAGGAGGAATACACCACCCGTGGCCCTCTTGCTGGGGTCTGTAGTCCTTGGCAAAGCTTTCTAGGTTCTTTCTGGTGATGGGTGGTGGGCAGCATGTTTGAGTGATAACCCACAAGCCAGGGGACCTTCCTTGAGAATGCCAGGGAAACAGGTACCTGCTCTGGCAGTCATCAACCAACCAACCGGTCAATCAGTCCGCAAGCCTTAACTAAGTGGGACTGAGCTGTCTCTCTCTCCTTTGACTTCTCACCAAGGGACAGACCATCAAGGCAAATCTTCCCTCCTCCTCGGACAAATGACTATTTCCCTCCCCAGAGGTTGTGTCCTAGCATCGAGTAGTAGATGGAGCTCTTGAATGGGAGTCAGGAAGACCTGGGTTCTAATCTGCCCTCAGTCGCTTCCTAGCCGTATGACTCTGGCAAGTCCCTTCCTGTCTCCGGGACTCAGTTTCTTCTGAAAATGAGGGGCTTGGAACTGGTAGCCCCTGAGGTCCCTTCCGGGTCTTGACCTCTAGTCACCCATCTAGAGATGGGTGATTTCATACCTCCCGTGAGATGACTTTGGACTGTGTCTCTAACCTGAAGCCCCAGGGCTCCTTGGCCCAGTCCTGGCCCAGCTGGAAGGACTGGATTGTTTCCTAATCGCAGGGCAGGATTAGGGGGCCCATCCTGAAGGCCATAGAAATGCTGTGATTGCCATGGAGAAAGGAAGGGGACAGCAGAAGTCCTGCCTCCCCCAAGGCCTTTGGCTCAGCAGCTCCCCCCCATTAGACCACCCCCTATCTGTCCCCTGCCTCCTCCCTCTGAGGTGCTTCCTCCTGGGCAGTCTTCGCGCCCCTGGCGCAGCCTGGTGAGCTCCATGCAAGCTGCCTGGGAGGAGGGGAGAGGGTGGTATCGACTGTTCCAGGACCAGTAACACGATCGATTGACCCTCTGTGAGTTGAAGTGAAATGAAGACCAATATTTGCCCCCAAGCAAATAAATCCTGGTATCGACCTGGTGCTAAACCCAGGCTTGGTCAATGTGTCCGTGCCACTAGCAAGGAGAGAGGCTGAGCCTGCTGGGGCCATTCCTGGAGCTAATAGACCCAAGTCTGAGGCCCCAAGGCCCGGCGGAGATCTTGATGGATGTCTCTGATGGACGTCTCTGATGGACGTCTCTGACCTTCCAGGAGGCCGCAAAAATGGGGGTGGGGTGCTGCTGGGGAAACGGCTCAGGACGGCAGGCCCAGGAAGGCAGAAAGGATAATCATCTCCTTATCTCTGGGGCTACTGAACCCATATAGAAATTCCATCTTTATTGAGATTGAACACCCCCAAATGGACAGGAACAAGGTGATGCTACATACAGGCTAGAGAACCAGCAATCACATCAGGAAACAGACATACAGAAGGGGGCAGGGACCAGACAGGGGAAGGGGGGTGGGTGCAAGCATGGGGGTCCTCTCCCAGAATCCCCTCAGCCTCCAGGGCTTGCCCTCTCCCCTGGAGGTGGAATGGAGGAGGGGGCTGGCTTCAGGGCCCTCCTGGGTGGTCAGGCCTGACCCCGTTCAGCCTCTCCGGTACAGGGCCCAATGCCTCCCCCCACCACATCCATTTCCCAGGAGGGTCCAGCTGCCCAGATGCCTTCTCTGAGCCCTCCCCTAAGGAGGGCTTGGGAGGAGGGCCGGGGTCTCTGCTCCACAGGCCAGGGTGAAGATCTGCCTTGAGCCCTCATCCTTGGTCCATGCAAGGCCCACGGGTTAAAGGAGGGGAGGGGAAGGGGGCTTGTATTGCTTCACAGATGGTTTTGGTGTTTTCTTTTTATCATAAATAGATATATAGAGAGAGATTATATTTTATGGTAGAATATATCCTATCGCACACAGGATTGCATCACTCAGAGTTACACCGGGGAGGGCCCCCCCCCCATGCACTGACATGCGCTGGGCACCACAGCCATGCGTGGTGGGCTGGGCCGGGCTGGGCCCCCGGGGCCAGGGCCACATGCTCTGGCCAGCCGTGGCCCCCGGAACAGCCCCCAGCACCTTCCTGTTCCCGGGGCCTGGCAGGAGGCCCCAGCCACTGGGAGGCTGGCTCGGTGGGGGGGCGGGGGCGTGGCCGGGGTGGCCACACCACGCCCAGCCCCCCACCTGTCAGCTACTTCATGCCGCTCCGCAGGACCTGGTTGGCTGCGATCAACATGACGCTAATGATGAAGGCGATGGCGAAGGCGCAGATGAGACTCTTGCGAACACACGTCTGGCGGATCTGCTGGTTGGAGCAGGCTGGGGGCCGAGCCATGACAGGAGATGGTGAGGGAAGAAGAAGAGTGGACCGTTAGGGACATCAAATCAGACACGGGTGTCGGTCCCCCGGCCCATCCTCCGAGGACAGCATCCTTCTCCCTGCCCCCAGCAACGCCTTGGTCGCTCTGTGTCTTGGGGTGCCCGCCTCCCTCTGCTGGGACGTCCTTGAGGGCCACCCATTGTGAGTGGGCAGCCCCAGGGCCTGGCCCGGGCACGGGGACACTCACTCTCCACTTCCACCGGACACTCCTCGGGGGTGCCCAGGTGACTCTCCTCCTCCGTCATGATGATGTTTTCAATGTCCTTCATGGAAAGATGCTCACAGAAGGTGTCATACAGCAGCCGCTTGAGCTCGTCCACCGTCAGCTTCTGCATGTCACACTGAGGGACCAGGTCGCCGGTCAGCCCAGCGAGCCCACCCGCCGGCTGGCCAAAGCCCTTCTGGGCTGCCACGCTCTCCATGGATGTCCCCAGGAGGAGCGGGTCCGTCACACCAACCTATGTCCCCCAAGGATACTCGTCCTTTGTAGGAGTCTAGTGGCTGTCTCACACCTTTGGAGACGTGGAGCCTGTGAAGCTTTGTACAAGCTAGGCCCGCTTCCCTCAGCTGGGCGAGCACAGGGTTCGAGGCCTTAGGGCCTGGATCCGCTTGCCCCCACCCAAAAGGTCAATCAGGGGAGGGGAGCTGGAGGACGGTCCTTGGCCTCCTCTGTCCCCTGGCTCTGGACCACAAGGGCTGCCTGTGCCAGGCTCGACATCCCAGCTGAGCTCTGGGAGTTACTGTGTGAACAGCCCTATTTGACTATTGACGCTTCCCAAGGCAGCTCCCTGAGCCTCTCGGTTACCTCTGACTCCCAGCTCCTCAAGTCCGGCTCAGAGCCTGATCCAGACATCACTAAGCCTGCAGGGCACCTGACCCTTACTGGGGTGTCTCCTTCCCACAGGCCTGCAGGGCAGGGGAGGGTGGGGAGCTCCTACCTTCCAAAATACCGTGTCAAAGTCAGTCCCGTGAAACTTTTCAGGAATCCCCGAGGTGGACAGCTTGGGCCCCAGTAACGTCACGAACTCTTCAAAGTCCACTTGGCCATCACCTAACCGCACAGAGAGGGAGTGAGCCTGGGCCCGAGGGGGGAGTCATGAAGGGGAGGGGGGGTGCCGGGAGAGCTGGGCTCTGTTCTTGCCTGTCAGCCTTGGACAAGTGGCTTCCTTCTCTAGAGCCCAGTGTCTGCCATCTATAAAATGAGCATACGGAATACCACCAGATCGCTTCTGGCATCAAATGAGATAACAGATGTGATTAAAAACTTTGAAAAAGTCAGATTTGAATGTGTGGCCTCATACACAGTAGGGGCCCAATGTTTGTTGAATGGATGGATAGATGGATGGATGGGTGGGTAGGTGGGTGGGTGGATAGATGAATAAATGGATGGATAGATGGGTGAGTGAATAGATAGAGGGATGGAGGGAGGAAGAGAGGGATAGAGGGAGGTCTGGGGTCAGCCATGCTGACTTTAACACACCAGAGACGTTAGCTTGTCGGCCAAATGAAGCCCTATTCAGCAGGAGTCTACTTCCCTCCTAATTCCACTATTAGTTTATCTACTTTGCAGATTTTCAAGCTTTATATAAGTCAGTCGCCAAGCATTTATTAAGTGCTTACTGTGTGCCAGCCACTGCGCTAAGCTCTAGGGCTACAAATGCAAGCCAAAAGAAAGCTAGTTCCTGCCCTCAGGGAGTTTCCATTCTAATGGGGAAGACAATGGTAGAAAGGGAAAGGGGGGGAGGGGCTTGGTGGTAAATCCAGGAGAGTGAGAAGCCGAGCTAGAGCTGGCAGCCCTGGGGGGATATCACCAACGGGAGACGCACCCGAAGTCACCCAAAGGTGTCTGACTCTTATTATGGTCTCCTGACACAGTGCTCCCCGCACCTGGAATGCTCTCTCTCCTCAACCCAACCTCTTAAGGATCCCTAGTTCCCTTCAAAGCTCCGCTCAAGCCGCTTCCTCCCAGACATCTTCCCTGATTCTCACCTTCCCACCTAGGGTCTCCCTTCTACCAAGTATACACACTTTCAATATGTATTATTTGTGTACATATTGAAGACTTCTTTTATTTACTTTTAATGCTTATGTGTGTGTACATATTCCTAAAAAATAGAATGTAAACTCTTCGAGGGCAGGCATCATTGTCTTTCTGCTCTTGTATCTCAATCATCCTAGTATAATGCTTAGCACATGTTGAGGTTGAGTTATTTCAGCCATGCCCGACTCTTTGTGACCCCATTGGAGTCTTGGCAAAGATATTGGAGTGGTTTGCCGTTTCCTTCACCCCCTCATTTTTACAGATGAGGAAACTGAGGCAAACAGGGTGAAGTGACTTGCCCAGGATCACGCAGCTAATAAATGTCTGAGGTTAGATTTGAACTCGGGTCTTCCTGATCCTAGGCCTGGCTCTATCCACTGCGCCACCTCCCTGCACATAGTAGGTGCTTAATAAATGTTTGCTGATTGGTTAATTGATTGCTATAGTCACCATTTTAAAGAGCAAAACCAGAGTTTGCTCTGAGTTTCCGCTAAGGTCACAATTGGCTCTCCCATTTATTGTGAGACCTTGGGCCTCAGTTTCCCAATGGTGTGGGATCACATCATCTCTAAGGCCAGCTTTGAGTGCATAGTCCTCTGCCACCCTTGACACAGCTGACTGATGGCCGCTGGTTTGACCACCAAGGAGAGGGAGAGGAGACAGTTAGAACTGGCCCCAGCGGTGAGCCTGGGGGACATTGTGAGACATCAGAAGCATTTCCCAAGAGCCAGAAGCATGAGGCCGGGCTTTGTGTGGCCAAAGAGGCTGGGGCAGGGGTTGGCAAGTGGACAGGCTTCCCGGGGGGAGACGTCAAGGAGCCCCTGCTGGGGGCCGGTGTTGGGGAGCCCTTGGAGGTCCTACTACGAGGGAGGTGGGAAGACAGGGCCTGAACAGAACAAAAGTCGGTTTGTCTATGGTCAGCCCCGAGCTGGGGACCTTGGGGGTCCAGGGACTAAATGGGGCAGAAAGCCCTGAAAGAGTGAGAGGAAGAAGTGAGGAGAGAAGGGAGAGCTGGGTAGAATGGGAGCTCCCCAAGGGCAGGGCCCTCTTGTCCTGTTTCTTATCTGTGCCTCAGTAGGAGGAACCTCATAAATGCTTGTGGAATGACTAAATGAGGGATCCGAGATTTAGAGCTGGAGGGACCTGGGAGATCTTTGCATATTACAAAAGAGGAAACTGAGGCCCGGAAGAGGAAGAAATTAGCCAATGATCACACAGCCAGCAAGAGTCAAAACCCAGGTCCTCTGGCTCTCAATGCAGCATTTTGCCCAGAACACCCCTCAGGCAGCTCAGATGAGAAAACTAAGCCCGTGAGAAGGCGGGGAGATGGACCCCATGACTCCCAGGGACTCCTCCTGCCCCACTGTCCTGCTTCATTCCTGGTCTATTACTTCTGCTGCTCTTCAGCCATGTAGCAGCCTCAAGCTGCCCGGTCTGTCAGTCTGGCTCATCCTTCTTTCTTCCTTTTTCATTCCTCCCTTCACTCCTTCCTCCTTTCTTCTCTCCTTCCTTCTTTCTCTCCTTCCTCCTTGTTTTCCCCCTCCCCCTTTCCTCCTTCCTCTCTCCCTCCCTCCTTCCTCCTTTCCTTCCTCCCTTCCTCCCTCCCTCCCTCCCTTCCTTCCTCTCTTCCTCTCTCCCTCCCTCCTTCCCTTCCTTCCTCCCTTCCTTCTTCTCTCCCTCCCTCCTTCCCTCCCTCCCTCCCTCCCTCCATCCTCCCCCAGGACACCCCCCCCCCTCTGGCCCCCCAGGCCCCAGGGTGGCCAGCAGGGTGATCATCTCTGATCATCTTGTTACCAGGGCTGCCTGGGGCACAGTGTAACCTTCCCTGTGCCAGAGGGCTCCTCAGCAAACAGCAGGGAGGAGGCTGAGGTAATGAGGAGGCATATTAATGAGCCCTGGTGGGCCAGCCGGGGCCAGGACAGGCGCCCTACCACTTAATTACCATATGCTGCTTCCTCAGCTGGCCCGTGTGTGGGAGCTGCTCTGGGCAGCCTCAGAGGACAGGACAGAGAGAGCGGGGTGAATGGGAGGAGGAGAGAAGGAGACAAGAGGCATACAGGGAGGGAGCAGGTGAGGAAGCCACAGGGGAATGGCGGATGGAATTGCCAGACGGTCCAAAAATGGGCTCTGTGTCTGAGCAGAGTTCTGGGGCACGTCAGGTCGTCTGGGGTCAGTCATTGACTGCCCTCTGCCCGAGAGATGGGACAACAGCCAAAACCACCTGGTGAGAGAAAGTGTGTACAAGGAGCCTCAGTTTCCTCATCAGTAAAATGGAGATAAAAACACTCTCACTACCTCACACAGGGTCATGAGAATCAAATAAGATGAAATCCATAAAACACTTTGTGAGCCATAAATCAATATGCAAATGTGCATTATTATAATTAACCTCCCTGTGCCTCAGTTTCCTCACCTGCAAAAGGGGGATAATTATATTTGCATCCCTTCCCTCACAAGGCCCCTTGAAAAGAACAAAGGAGACAAGGCATATGTTGAGCTTTGTGTAACGGACCGCATCAAAGCCACTTGGCATTCTTTAACCTCTCCATGCCTCAGTTTCCTCACTTCAGTTTTCATTGCAATAAAGACCTGATGACCCAGGAGTTAGGAGACATGTTCTGCTCTCTAACTGACTTGCTGTTTGACCCTAGGCACACCCCTTCCCTTCCTTGGGCCTCAGTTTTCTCATCTGTAAAACAGGGATAATCATACTCACACATACCCCTCATATTACAGGGTAGTTGTCAGAAAAGGGCTTTGCAAGTGGAAGCCGTTGTCATTACTTACACCAGCTCAGCGGAAGTCAGCCTCACTGGCTAGCTGTTCTGCCCTGCTTCATTTCACATATAATATAAAGCAAGGCCCAGAGACTTGCCTGAGGTCACACAGCGAGTAAGCGTCAGAGCCAGGGCTCGAACCCAGGTGCTCCAGCACGCTTGGTGACCCTCAGAATGTCCCACTGAGGTGGGGAGGGTGAGGTTTTATCAGAGGAGTAGACCGAGGCCCAGGGAGCAGAAAGGATGTGCCCTTCCTAGATCCGGGTTAAGTGTCTGAGCTAGAATTCAGACCCGGGCGTCCTGATGTCACATCCAGGGTTCTCTGCCACACCCTGACATCTCTTCTAGGAGCATGGGAACGTAGGACTGAGAACAGGAAGGAGCCGTGGGAGTCATCTGCAACAGCTGCTTCATTTTACAAAGGAGGGAAATGACTTACCCAAGGCCACTCATTGTTAGGGGCACTGGGGTGTGGGCAGAGGGAAGCTCAAAGGTCCACCCTTGTTCATTGAAGACAAGAGGTGGGCCCAGGGAAATGGGGGAGGAGGAGAGAAATAAGTGGAGGCTCCTCAGAGACGCAGCCTGACACTGGCAGGTGGCGTATTCCCTGCCGGGAGCTCCCCTTAGCTGGGTCTGCCTAGAAGGAGGTCTGGAAGGGGCGGCATGGAGGCAGGGATGTCCAGGGCTGGGGCCAGGACAGTGACAAGGTGAGGATGGAGGGGAGAACACCGGAGGGGCAAGGGGCATAGCCCCGGATGGAGGAGGGGCCCTAAGAGGGATGAACAGAATGGAAAGGAGATAGAGGGAAAGGAAGAGGAGACATGAGAAAGTGAGCGGATTATAATGAGAAAAGCAGGAAGTGATCGGACCAGGGTCATGCGCGTAGTGAGATCAGAGTAAGGATGGGAGGCTTGGTCTCCTGGCCCACTGGCTGGCATTCTTTCTTCCAAGGAGCAGAGACAGAAAGAAAGGGGAGACTCAGGTGGATGGGAAGGCTTGGCTTCCCTGGGGGGAGTGGGGGCAGGCTGGGGCCCGAGGCGCCAGGGAGGGGGTTACCGTCCATGTCCAGCCGCTGAATGATGACCTCCAGTTCCACCTCGTTGGGCATGTAACCCAGGGAGCGCATGGCGGTGCCCAGTTCCTGCTTGGAGATGAACCCATTACCATCTCTGTCAAACACTTTGAAGGCCTCACGGATTTCTGTGGGGAGAAGGAGCCTGGCTCACCAAGGCCCAGAGACCCTTTCCTTGTCCCTTCCAGGCCTAGGCTCTGCTCTTGGGTCCCTGCCTCACAGCCCCCCATCCACTACATTGGGGTCTGTATCTGAGGGAGGTGCACTGACCTGCCAGACATGCTTGAGCCCTCGCCTTTTCCTGAATTACAAACCCAACCAAGCATTAAAAACAAAAAAAAACAACAGACGAACCCAAACTTCCTCAATATCTGAAGGTCCTGGAGCAGCTAGGTGGCACAGTGGATTGAGCACTGGCCCTGGAGTCACGAGGACCTGAGTTCAAATCTGGCCTCAGACCAGACTTGACACTTACTAGCTTTGTGACCCTGAGCAAGTCACTTAACCCCAATTGCCAAAAAAAACAAAACAAAAAAAACCAAAACAACACACAAAAAATATCTGAAGGTCCTGGGATATCAAAGATCAGAGATTTAAAAGCAGAAAGTCATCTAGAGGAGGTAACTGAGGCACAGAAAGGCAGTGACTCAGTCACACGGGTGGTAAGCATCAGAGCTAGGATTTGAACCCAGATCCTCTGATTCTCCTTCTAGCACTCTTGCTGTTGCCCACCATGATTCCATCCCCACTGATGGAGACCCCAACCCCTCTAGCCTGAGAGCTGCCAAGCTGTGGCTGGACTCATGACAAGCCTCTCTGTGCAGCTAGGCTGGTCTTCAGGCAATAGAATCACAGAATCTAATTGGAAGGGGCTTCAGGGGCCACAACCATATAACAATGGGCATTTATAGAGTGATTTAGGGTTTTTAAAGCCCTTTACTCATATCATCTCATTGGATCCTCATGACAAGCCTGTGAAGTTGGTGCTCACTCCCATTTTACAGATGAAAAACTGAGGCTGAGAAAGTGACATACCCAAGGTCATACATCAAGTATGTGTCTGAGGCTGGATTTGAACTCAAGTCTTCCTGACTCCAGGTCCAACACTCTTTCTACCTCGCTGCCTCATCTAGTCCAAATCACACATGAAGGAATTCTGTCTATGACTCATCTCCCAAGGAGTCATCCTGCCTCTACAGGGGAGCCCACCACCTCTCTACTTTGGGACATCTCTCATTGCTAGGAAGTGTTCTTCCTGACACCGAGCTTTCATTTGCCTTCACAGTAATTTCTATCCATTGTTCCTGGTTCTGCCCTCGGGGGCCAACAGGACAAAGCTAATTCCCCCTCCCTGTGGCAGCCCTTTACATCCTTGAAGACAGATCTCATGTCCTCCCAGCTAAATATGCCCACTTCCTTCAGTTGATTCTTGTACGTCATGAACTTAAAGCCCTTCGCCATCTTGGTCACTCTCCATGTCTGTGGTGTCCAGAGCCAAACCCAGGACTCCAGATGAGGGCATAGGAGGGCTGAACCCAGTGGGACCATCACCGCCCTAGCCCTGGAGGTTCTACCCTTCTGGATGCAGTCTAGATCACATTACTTTTTATGCCAGCAACATCATTCTGCTGACTTTGGGGGAGCTTGCCATCTACTAAGGCCCCCAGACTCTTTTCAGAACAACTGCTATTGATCTAGGCCTCTGCCATCTTCTATGGGTAGAAATCATTTTTTGAAACCAAGTGCAAGACTTTATATTTATTCCTACTGAACTTCATCTTACTAGACTCAGCCCAGTGATCTAACCTGGCAAGGTCCATTTGGCTCCCAAGTGTCACCCAGGGGTTAGCTTTCCCTCCTAACTTAGTGTCACCTGTACATTTGATGAACCTGCCATCTGTGCCTTTATCCACGTCATTGATTAAGATGCCGAATGTCAAGAGACCAAGCACAGGTACTCCACTGCAGAGCTCCTGTCACATTGACCCTGCACCATTAACAACTACACTGGCCATCCAGCCAGGTAAGAGTTCTGGGACTGCAGTCAGGAAGATCCGAGTTCAAATTAACCTCTGGCTATACGATCCTGGGCAAGTCATCTCACCACTGTCCACCTCAGTTTCCTCAAGTGTAAAATTGAGATAAGAACAGCACTTCCTCCCAGCACTGTTGTGAGAATAAAATGAGACAATATCTGTAAAGTGCTTTGTGAAACTTAAAGTGTGATATAAATGCTAATTATTATTATTGTTATTAATTATTATATTAGTGTCTAATCTGCATCCCTCCATCTTCCCTGAAAGAATGAAATAAGAGGCATGCAGTCAGTTACCAGACAGACTCAAAGTGTCTCTAGCTTGATGGGGTCTGTTAGAACCCAGGATCCACGGGCAGAGACTTTGATCAGGTCACCAGGGTCACCCCCACACTGCCAAGAGGCATTGAAGGAAGGCGTTGACCAAAAAACTCAAACACCTGACGAGCAGGTTCGAAGCGGAATTTTTGAAATCTGTTCAATTGCAATGACTCCATGTGCTTTCATGCTCACCTCCTGCTGCTCCTTACCGAAGCCCTCTGCTCCAGCCGGGCTGACCACCTCAGTGGCCCCCTAGATGCTCTGAGTCTTCCCACCTCCGCCCCTTTTCTCCTCGCTGTGTCCTCTCCCCTCCTCTCTTCCCTCCCTCTCTAAATCCCACTTCTCCTTTGGGACTCAGCACTTCTGATCTCTCCAGCTGGAAAGACTCTGAATCATGGATTCTGGAATTGGAAGAGGCCTCAAGGACATGGAGAAGAATCCAGACCAGACACAGACAAGACTCCACTTTAGAAAGGAAGACCTCCCGTGATGCCTCTTGAGATCAAATATGAGGCCTCTTGAGGCAGCGCCTTCCTCTGTTGGACAGCTCCCATGGCGAAGACGGTTTTCCTTCCACTGAGCCTAACCACCCTCCCAGCATGTTCTTCCTCCTCCAGCCTCGGGCCACATCCATTGACTGGCCTTTCTTTGGACACTTCATTAATGGGGTTGGATGGGATTGTCCAATGGTTTGACCAACACTGCCAATTTTAAAAACTGGACCTATGATTTCATTGGAACAGGGATCTCCCAGGTGAGGAAACTCCCTGTAGCAATGCAGATAACCCATCCTTTGCAATGGAAGGTTGTCTTGGAGATCTTCCTGAAGGCACTGAAGGGCATGTGACTTGCTCAGGGTCATACAGCCAGTATGTGTCATAGGCAGGACTTTTATCTAGATCTTCCTGACTCTGAAGTCAGCTTTATTTCCACTGTCATACTGCAGCTCCATGATCATGTCTGAATGCATTTTTGCAGAGAGACAGACTCAGAGACAGAGGCAGGAAGAGAAAGACCAAGAACCATAGAACTGGAACGTCAGAATACTCCTCAGATTAAGTCCAAACAGAACAAAAATGTCATCGTGTTTCCAAGATGATTTTTGTCTCCACCCCTTTTGTTAAATTTCTTTCCAGACTGAGAACTAGAGGGGACCTTAGAGATCATTTAATCCAACCCCCTCAATTTACAGATAAGGAAATTGAGGCAAACTGGGTGAAGTGACTTGCCCAGGGTCACACAGCTAGTAAGTATCTGAGGCCAGATTTGAACTCAAGAAGACGAGTCTTCCTGACTCCAGGCCTGGCGCTCCATGCAGTATGGATCATTTAATTCACTCTTCTCATTTTACAGAGGAGGACACTGAGGCACAGAGCAGAGAGGCTAGGTATCCAAGGTCAGACACGTGAGGAAGTGGTGGGTGCTGGAACCCAGGACCTCTACCCTCACCATACTGTATAGTTGAGATCATCAGTTCAGACCCTCTCATTTCATAGATGAGGAAACTGGATCCCAGAGCCCGCATATGAAATACTTAGCCAGTCATGCAAGGGGTTAGTGGCAGAGCTAGGATTCAAACCCAGGTCATGAGGAAAAGGAGACACGGTGTAGGGCCAAGGGACCTGGATTGAGGGAAGTCAGAGGACCCCAAAGTCCTGCTTTGCTTTATCCTACTTGAGTGACCTTGGGAAAGCCACTGGGCCTCAGTTTCCTCATCTGTAAAATTAGAGGTTCTACTTACTGACCTCCAAGCTCCCTCTCAGCTGACCCCCCACAATCATGTGATTTCAGGCCAGAGCTCCCTTCACACAAGCAAATGAGTCAAACCTTCCAGTCACGTGATGGTAGCTAGTGTTTGTCTGAACCACTTCTCCGGGAACATACTGTTTTCTCAGCAGAATTTCAGCTCCTGGAGGGCAGGGAATGTCTCACTTTTGTCTTTGAAATCCTTGCTCACAGCACAGTGCCTGGCACACAGTAGGCACTCAATAAATCTGATTGACTGACCTCAGAGATCATCCAGTCTATACTCCCCATTATACATGTGGGTAAACTGAGATCCAGAAGGAAGCATGGACCTCCACAACATTCTGGCCATGCCTCTCTTAATGGCACATTGCATCTGGCCCTGATCTAGATGGATTCACTCAAACTGATCTTCCCAGAACCCAGGTCTGGCCATTTAATTCCTCCACACAATAAACTCTAGTGAATCTTTATTGCTTCCAAGATCAAATATAAAATTCAGGGACACTGGCCTCTTTTCTGTGCTGTCACACAAAATATTCCAACTCCCTACTCCAGGCATTTACCCTGGCTGTGCACCCTGCCAGGACTGCTCTCCCTCCTCATTCCACCTCCAGGCTTCCCTGGCTTCCTTCCAATCTCAGCCCAAATCCTACCTTCTGTAAGATGCCTTTCTTGACCCTTCTCCACTGTTGGTGGCATCTCTCTGAGATTACCTTCTCTCTCCTCCCATAGAGAACTCATTCGAACATAGTTGTTTGCATCTTGTCTCCCCATTAAGACTGTGAACTTTTGGAGGGCCAGGATTGCCTTTTGCCATTCTTTGTATCCCCAGTGCACAGTGCCTGGCACATAGTAGGTGCTTTTTAAAAAATCTGACTAAGTGCATTCCTTACCTCCCTGAGATGGGTTCAAGAGACCACTAAGGGTTCTTATAATTCTAAAGATTCTGTGAACTCCTGGGACCAGGTCTTATCCATCTCTCTGTCCTCCAGAATGAGCAGTCCAGGGCCTTGCCCATAGCAA